TAGTTTCAAACAAAAAAACCTTTGTGAAATTAGCACAAAGAATTCCTGTGTACCCTTTACCCAGATTCCCCAAATATCAACATCATAACTCAGCAGAATTATCAAGATCGGGAAATACACGTAGGTAACAACACTGGAATCTGGAGACCTCGTCCAGAGGAGGCCTGCGCATGCCCCTTGTCTGCCCAGGACCCCTGCCTGGGGCTGACACTCGGCCTCCTGACGGTCAGGCCCTTCTGTGGCCTTTGGTCCACCACAGTGCCTCAGTTCTTTGTCTTTTGTGATTGTGACACTTTTGAAGAGTACTGGTCAGTCGTTTGTGGAATGTCCCCGTTTGGGCGTGATGTGTTTTTTAAGCAACCATAAGTTTTCATCCAAACGGAGACACTTGCAAGTAAAGAGTTGCTCTGTTCACAACTGCACCGAGCCAGCAGGTGTCAGGCAGGTCAGCGATGCCCCGTGCCCGGTGCTCATGTCACTCTACTCCATGCCCTTTTGGGTTCCCTCCCTCCCTTTCCCCCTTGGAACAAACGTGCTGAATTTCCAACACCCTGTATGCTGTTGGTTATGTCCTCAAAGTGCCATTTAACGTGCTCCTCCAACCCTGTATTCCCAGGAAACTGGCTCAATCAATCCCAGTTTTTGGCCAGCCCCTCTGCCTTCCTTGGCTCGTGGAATGCCGCTCCTGATTCTGTCACTCTCCACAATAAGACATATTCTCCCTTAAAAGTTGGTTTTCCCAGGCACCTGGATGGCTCAGTTGGTTAAGCATCCAACTTTTGATTTTTGGCTCGGGTCCTGATCTTGGGGTTGTAGGGTACAGCCCCACACCGAACCCCATGCTCAGTGGGAAGTCTGCTTGAGTCTCTCTCCCCCTCTCCCTCTGCTCCTCCCCTCACTCATGCACGATCTTTCTCTAAAATAAATAAATCTTTAAAAAGAAAAAACGTTGGTTTTCTCTTTCATTTTGTGTCTCTCCATACACTTCTCCGAATGACCTTATATAACTTAAAAATCTCCACCTTCAGCTAGTAGCTCTTAGACTCCAGACCATCTTTCTACTCTGTAGAGTTCTAAAATTCCATCTGATTGGGTCACTTCCCTTTTTAACAACCTCCCCATTGCCCTCAGGGTCATATCCAATTTCCCTACCTGAATTTGACCCAGCCTCCACAGATTGCCCTTAGCCTCATCTCATGGCGCCCCTCCTGTGCCGCAGTTCCTGATGCTATTCTGTAGGCTCTGGGATCTGCCTTCCCCCTGAACTGCCCCTTCTCCCTTCCTCATCTGGACCAGTCCCCCCAGGAACCACCTCTGCCAGGCAGCCTCCTTAGCTGCCACAGCTGGATGAACTCTCTGGTGTTTGTACATTCATCCCCCCAGATGGTGAGTCCTTGGATGGTAGGTCTGTGTTTCATCTCTATCTTCATTGCCTGAAACATCACTGCCACTCAGATGTTGCTGAATAAATACTGAAGGTGGCTGGGGATAGTATAAATTCCTTTCCCTTCAAACTTTAAGTTAGGGCCTTATATGGACATAGGGATGTGAAGGACAGGGAGCTGGGCAGCCTAGACTCATTGTCACAGCTCACCATCTTCCGAACCCTTACTCTGTTAGGGCACAAGGATTAGTAAAAGTACCATCCTGAATCCTCCCTCCAAGGGGAACACAGAACCAGTGACGCTCTATCTCACGGGCACCAACTGTTACGAGGATATGGGGGATGAGGAGGATCAATTTGACTAAGGAAATCTGAAAACTCTTAATGATTTGAATTGGACCTTAAAATACAACAAGATTTGATATTGGTCTTGGGGAGAGGGCATCTTGGATGCCTGGAGGCGAGGACGCTCAGAGGAGGAGACGGTGAAGGAACGCCGGAAAAGTATGTGTAGGGACCACGCTGTGGAGGCCTTTGGAGGCAAAGCTGAGGAGTCTGGATTTGTCCTGACTTGTACCCTCACAGCTCTGCCTCCACGTACCCCAGCTGGTGGGTAGGAACAAGGCTTTACAGAGGAGGCTGAAAAAGCTGGAACGGTAAGGGTGGGCAGCCTTAGGAGCCCTTGCAAGAATAGAGCTCATGGTGTTCCAAAAGCTCCTCATGGCAGAACTGAGGAAAAAGTAGTGATGAGAAACTTAAAAGATAGTTTTCAACTACTTTTTTTGTGTTCATGTTGGAGGGAAGGATGAGTAGAAAAAATCAGTATAAATCTCGGTGTTTTGGCTTCAGAAACGACTTACCACTTACGTTGTGTAGACGGTCCCCACCCCGCCCTGTTCGTTTGCACAGAACAGGTGTATTGGCCTCCACCCTCCACCCTCCACTCTGCCCTCGCAGTAAGGCAGCGAGAAGGGAGGTGCAGGGGTCTGGGCCTGAGAGCTCCAGCCCCGCGGGGACCGCCCCCCACCTCAGGCCTTCTAGCTCCGCCCACTGCTGCTCTCATCCTTCTGGTCACGCCAGCGGGCAGCTGTGGAGTCCCCGCAGACTCTCTGACCTCCCCGCGCACATTCAAACAGCGGGGCCGGGTATGTGCACACGTCCCTCTTGGCTTTAGAGTGCCCAAGTGGCAAGCTAAGCTCGGTCCTCTAGTTTAACTGCCGGCTCCTGGCCTCCCTGGCCTCCTTTCCGCCCACAAGCGCAGGTGTTACCCAGCTCCCCCGCCACAGTGCCTGGGGGTTGGGGGGAACCCCAGCTCTGCGCTCTGAGAGGCACGGCTTCCTGAGTTCTTTCTTACTGTGTAAATGGCCTGTATTTGGCGGTGAGTACATTTGTTGCTGCATGAAGATAACTATTTCTCGACTCTCCCCCCCCCCCCAATCGTGCTTTAGTCCACTAATGTCTAAAGATGTTGGATCCGGGATCCCTGGGTGGCGCAGCGGTTTGGCGCCTGCCTTTGGCCCAGGGCACGATCCTGGAGACCCGGGATCGAATCCCACGTCGGGTTCCCGGTGCATGGAGCCTGCTTCTCCCTCTGCCTGTGTCTCTGCGCCTCTTTCTCTCTCTGTGACTATCATAAATAAAAAAATAAATAAATAAATAAAAATTAAAAAAAACCTTAAAAAAAAATAAAGATGTTGGATCCAAACAGAAAAAGACACCCATGAACTTCCCTTACGCATCTGCAGCCACCCACCCTCACCCTGCCGCTGAGGGTTAGCACCTGCCTCTTGACATGAGCTCCTCAGTGGAGAAGTGTCTCGGCCTGTCCTGTAACAGCCCCGTCACTCCCATGCTGCAAGCCCCTCCGGCTTCTGCCTCCCCAACCCCACCTGCCCACAGCTGGCCCCAGTCAGCACCGTCCATCTGTCCATCCCTCAGCTGTGTTCTTGGACACCCCACTGCTTGCTCCCCTGCCCCCTTACCTTTCTCAAGTCCTCTACTTCCCATTCTTTAACTGGATGGTCCAAGCATACTTAACTGGAAATTTCTTCACCTTGTGGGTGAGTTTTAGTCATTAGCAGTGAGGACCTACAAGAGAACCTATGAGAGGGGTTTCCTCCTGAGGGACAGGCCAGCCCAGGCCGCTGTCCCTCCCTGTGGAGACACACTCTGCTGTCAGAGCATGCCTTAACAGGAACCTGGATGAGAAAGCATACATACCTCAACTTCTTGGCTGTTAAAACCTTTAGGCACACCTCATTTTTTAAAATTTATATCAGGGGGATCCCTGGGTGGCTCAGTGGTTTAGCACCTGCCTTTGGCCCAGGGCGTGATCCTGGAGTCCCGGGATGGAGTCCCACATCAGGCTCCCTGTACGGAGCCTGCTTCTCCCTCTGCCTGTGTCTCTGCCTCTCTCTCTCTCTCTCTGTGTGTTTCTCATGAATAAATAAATAAAATCTTTATCATAGGCTCCCACCGGCACAGCACTTTTGGGGGTCCCCTAGGGCTTGGCACGTTGTGCATCTACGAACGTCTGTGTGTTGCTTGACAGGTTAGCAGTTCTGACTTCTGACTCTGAGAGTTTAGGGTTTAGGGTTCCTAAGATTCAGCTCCAGAAGAAAAAAACACTCGTGAAGAGGATTGACTGCATGTGGTTTAAGTGGGGGAGATTCATGGAAATGAGAATTTGGGGTCACGGCAATCCCATGAGAAATGGGGACAGTCCCTCCCTGTGCGAGGGGACGTTTAGGGGGAGCCCTGGGTCTCCATTAGTGACCAGGCAGGTTGACCTCTTGGCTCACTGCAGGGGATGGTGGTAGAGGGCAGAGTCCTGTCTGGAGGTGCTTTGCTCTTTCTCCCAGGGAGCCACGGCCGGGCCAAGCCCTAGACGCCCTGGCATCGTGGCCACGGGCAGTTTTGTAGGTTGTGGACATTGGTTCTTCACATCTGATCAGAAAATAGCCTTGGAGGAGGGCGGAAACGATCACATTTAAACGAGCGTTCGCCTCTCACATGTCCCAGGCCGCCGGGCCCGCCGACCCGGTCATGGAGGAGGGCACACGGACCGCGACAGATGGTGGACGCAGGGCCCACCTCGGGACCTTCTGGGCAGGTGTCTCGCTGCTGCCTTTGCTCACGGCTGTCGGAGGCCGGGTGGCCAGTGTCTGCACTGTCCGGCAGCTGGGCCAGCTGCTTCCTGGGGACCACTGCGGTGGCACCCTGGGGCATGGCCCCCATCTGGGGCCGCAGAGCCTGGCGTGTGGAGGGAGGCGAACCTGGGGCCTCGGGGCCCACAGCCCTGGGGCGCCTCAGGCGGTGGCGGGTGCGCAGGCTGCCCGCCCCGCGCCTCCGCCAGGCCGTGCCTGGACGCTGTGCACCCACCTGACTGCCCAGCCCTTAGCTCTGCCAACGAGTCTGGGTCCTTCACGTGAACAGGTCCGTTTCCTTCGCTGCGTATTAGCACAGCGCCTGAGGCTTCGGGGGCTGCGCGCCCAGCACGGGCCTAGGCGGGGATGCGGCCGTCCTGCCGCCCCGCCCCGCCCCGCCCCGCCAGCCGACGACCGGACCCGCGCCCGCGCCCCGCGGCCTGCGCTGACGCCCCGCTCTCTCCCCGCAGGATCTCCTACGACCCCGCCAGGTACCCGAAGTACCTGCCCGAGGCCTACTGCCTGTGCCGGGGCTGCCTGACGGGGCCGCTCGGCGAGGAGGACCCGCGCTTCCGCAGCGCCCCGGTCTACGTGCCCACGGTGGTCCTGCGGCGGACGGCGGCGTGCGCGGGCGGGCGCGCGGTGTACGCGGAGGAGTACGTCAGCGTGCCGGTGGGCTGCACCTGCGTCCCCGGCCGGCCCGGCGAGGCGCCGGCGTCCGCGTCCGCGCCGCGCCCGCGCCCGCGCCCGCGCTCAGCCCCAGCGAGCGGCCGGCGCGGCCCTGACGCCCCAGCCCCGGCGCTCGGCGGGCTCCCCACCGCCCGCGGCCCGCGACGACGCCAGCGGCGCTGCGACCAGCCAGCTCGGCGGGCCTCACGGCACCCGCCCCGGGTTCCTCTCAGGGACGGCGCGGTCCGGAAGGCGGCCGGGGCGGGGGTGGGGGCTGGAGGCCTGCGGCCGACGGGTGTCCTCGTGGTCCCGGGCTCAGACCCCGCGCCCCGCCGGCGCCCCGCCGCACGGCACCCGGAGAGGAGGGGGTGAGCCTCACAGGCCAGGGGGCCGGTGAGCGCTAAGGGAATCGTCTAAAAAAAATCGTAGAATATATCCCCACTTTTTTTTGCTCAGCGTTTTCAGTGAGGCAGAAACTACTTTTATATTAGCAATTTTGGATGATTGTATTAGAATTTTTTTACTTGACATTTAAGTATTTGAGGAGCATCCTGTTTCCGCTTCCTCTGGCGGGATGCGTCGGCGGCGCAGTCGGGGTCCTCAGATCCGGGCTGGGCCCCTGCGGACCGCACCGGGCGCGCAGGGCTGAGGCCCTGACTGACTGCCCCCAGCGAGGGTCTTCCCGGGCTGCTTCGTGCTCGCCGCAGACAGGCCAGGGATTCCAGGAACTGCAAACGGGTGATGTTCGTGCGTATATAAATGGCCACAGATTTATGTAATTAAGCAGTGTTTTCACTTTTGAAAGTAAGTGGGGCCAAATAAGAGGCGGTGGGAGAAGGTGAAAGGTGAACTGGCAGATCTTTGCCAATTCTCAGAAGAATCCAGGTCTTAATCTTAGTTTTAAGGGCTTCAGGAACCAGCCAAATACGAGAAGTAGCAGGCCAGCTTAGGATTTCCAGAAATCGATATTGGTTGGGAGCCTCTTTGTCTACATCCTGCAATGTGAGCTAAATCCATACTCCCTTCTGTAGGCTGAAAGTCTGTCCTTGAACACAGTTGTTTGTAAATGAGTTCCTCTACGTCATTAAAGCAATTACAGGTGAAGGGCATGTTGGCTGCGTGCATTTCTCTCTGGACTCCGTCCGCTTTGATGGGCTTGACACAGTTTCTGAGGAAACTAAAGTCTTCACTTAATTTTATGGTTGAAGTTTAAATTAAGATCTGAATTGGTCTTTGAAAGATCAACTATTCCTGCAAAGTCAGTCTCTCTTCTGTGACACCCCCACCAAGCCAAGGACTGTCCCTTATTTATATGTGTTTCACTCTCAAACTTCAGCTGTCAGTAACGGAGCTTCCGCTCCCTAGTTACCAAGTATCCTATCGGCCTTAGTTTGATCTACATGGAAGGTCCACTGAGAAGACTTTCAACTTGCACTGACAGAAGTTGTATGCAAAAAATACATTGCTGAGCAAAATCCAGATTTTCCAAAAATTCGGAAATTCAAAGATCAAAGTGCTAGCTGTGGACAGTTCTGCACAGTCTGGGGAAATTTTACTTCTCCATTCAACCTGGGGGTGGGGAGGTGGGGAAAAAAAGTATCCTTAGTGCCAGTTTATCTGGAATACATTCTTGTCCAGAAAACAGAAGGTTCAGAGCAATTTTCCATTCCTAGCTCAACAGTAACATCAAGTCCATAAGTCAAAAAGGAAACTGCTTTAAAAGATTTTATTTATTTTAGGGGATCCCTGGGTGGCTCAGCGGTTTGGCGCCTGCCTTTGGCCCAGGGTGAGATCCTGGAGTCCCGGGATCAAGTCCCACGTCGGGCTCCTGGCATGGAGCCTGTTTCTCCCTCTGCCTGTCTCTCTCTCTTTCTCTCTCTCTCTCTCTCTCTCTCTCTCTCTCTCTGTCTGTCATAAATGAATAAGTAAAAAATCTTTAAAAAAAGGAAGAAGTCCGGTGCTTTAAAAAAATAAATAAAAGATTTTATTTATTTGAGAGAGAGTGTGTGCTCATGAGCAGGGCAGAGGGGCAGGAGGAGAGGGAAAGCAGACTCCCCAATGAGCAGGGAGCCACACAGAGGTCTGAGCCACCCAGGCACTCCCAAAAAACTCCTTTTCAAACCAGTGATCTGGGTAATCGTTGCAGCCATCACCACTGTTGGGTAGCATTTTTTCCAGCTACTCCTTAAATATAAATAGTGCAAACCTCAGAGAATAGACTTCAGGAGAGTAAATATCTAGGGAAAATATTTTATTAGTATTGTTGAACTATGCTTGTGAAACAGTAGCACATTCCCCGTGGAAGAAACTGAGCTTTCCATTTTATAGAACCAGAAAGGCAACCTTTCTTTCTTTGTGTTTTTTTCGCTGGATGGAATATTCAGCCACTAGATATTTATTGAGCACCTGCCCTGTTGCAGGCACGGAGCCCCAGAAGCCACCTGTGAACCAGGCACAGTCCGATCCTCAGCCAAAAGTAGACCCGCCCTGGCTGGAGGGCCCAGTTGGGGCTGCTGGCCGCTCCCTGCAGGAAGCGCTGCCCCCAGAACCCGAGCCATGTGCGGCGCTTAGAGATGGACCTTGCGTTTCCCTCCATCAATGAGGCCCGAACACTTTTTGTAAAGCACAGGGCCTGGCATGTAGGAAGTAGGAGAATGTATTGATGGGCCCCAATGATTTATAAGCTACATGGAAAATAAATATCAAGCTACTCTTTCTTCACGTTGTTTATTGCTTTAGCAAGGATAGATCATTAAACTTTTTGTATAAAAAAAAAAAATCGGGATGCCTGAGTGGCTCAGAGGTTGAGCATCTGCCTTTCGCTCAGGGCATGATCCTGGGATCCAAGATCGAATCCCACATCAGGTTCCCTGTATGGAGCCTGCTTCTCCCTCTGCCTATGTCTCTTCTTCTCTCTCTGTGTCTCTTGTGAATAAATAAATAAAATCTTAAAAAAAAAAATCTATACATTAGGCAGCTGCGACCAGATAGAATATGTTGGAGTGAATGTTAACTAACGGGAATTAAAGACGGGGAAAAAGAGAATGTGTTGCGGGGAGAGGGTAGTGATTTCTCCTGGGGAGATGCTGTTTCAGTGACTAATGGGAGTTTACTGGGACACAATTTTGTTTCCTTGTTAAAACGAAAGGGATTTTTCGGAGAGTGGTTATTCTCGTGTAATATCAGACATCTGCGGAAATACTGCGTGGGCCTTGGTAACCCCCTCACCCCACTCCCAGGGCCAGGGCACGCAGGCCTCAGGCTCCCCCCTCAGGCTTTCCCGAGTGGCCACTTTGCTGGTGGGAATTTCTTTTTCTTTTTTTTTAATTTTTTTTTTGCTGGTGGGAATTTCATCGCTGCTTCCTCCTCTCCAAGAAGAGCCATGGTGCCTGCATTTCCTTCCAGCGATTCTCTGGAGGGCTACGTGGCAGCCCTCAGGATGGATGTGTCTTGCTGGGTACTGACGATCTTTTCCAGCCAACTGACAGTCAAATGCCAACAGTTCCACATTCAGGGGCCACCCAGACTCCTCGGTTTACCAGCGAAGCAAAGGAGAGAGAAGGGTCATGCTTAGCCTTAGCCACTGGTTCCTGCGCTGAGTTGAGAGAGGTATGGAAGAGCAGGACGCTCCCCACCACCCGGGGAAATGGGGCTCCCAAGTTACTCTGGCATCTCAGTGTTCCACCTGTCTGTGCTTCCCAGCTACCCCAAACAACCCAAGTCGCTGTGTGGACTTTTGGATCGTGGGTAAAACAGAAATTACTATCCTCTTTCCACTCCTACTATGGTTATTTTGGGTCTCAGTGCAAATCTTAGAATTAGCAAAGACTTTAAAAAGGGGTCTCTTAAAATGTTCTTTTTAGTTTTTAAAGTGCTTTGGTCGAGTGTAGGAGGTGAGGGTGCCTCCGAAGAAGTCAGGAAGCTGATTTTGGGCAGGCCATGCAGGGCGCACCTGCCTTCCTCTGCCCCAGCCTGCAGTGCTGCAGCCCTGACTCAGGTTTCTGAAGGTTGCAGAGGCAGAGCTGCTGACCTTTTATGAAATCCAGAAGTGGATCGCATGGGAACACAGGTTTGCTAAATCACAAGGGGTCCAAAGTAATAAAACACATGTTGGCTGCTTATTATACAGCAATTTAATTAAACGTTTAATGAGTCAGGCTTTGCCTTTTCCTTCCCCTCCCTCCACAAAGAAATGCGGTTTCTCCTCCTCATCTAGACGCTAGACTTGCAGGATAACTAAAATCCTGTATTTCTAGGCTGCTGCCTGCCCACAGTTCCTAAGTTACACATTACACTTCTATACATGATTTGTTACTAGAATTTGTTACTGGTCTAGGTAATTTCTAGTAAACTGACTCATGAGGAAATAATAAGGTAGGAGGTATTTTTTTAAAGAACAAACATTTATTGAATACTTCACATGTGCCAGGTGCTGATATACTGGTAAAAATTTAATGTCTCATAAATATACCAAGTGATTTTTAAAGTATATTAAAAATTATCCCAAAGTAGGACAATTGGGGACTGAGAGACGAGAGCCCCCACACCTCCTGAGCACTGGCGCCAGGGCAACGGGCTCTGCAGCACAGGCTGGGCTTCCACAGCCGTGAGGAGCAACCGAACAGTCCCTGATTTTCAAGAGCCGATGTTGGCTTTCTGCCCCCACGCCCACGGCTCGGCTGTGCCTCTCGAGGACGTGCACAGCCAGAGCACTGCTGCGTGAAACACCACTGCTAGCCCCGTTTGAGAGAAAGGAAAGCTCTGCTTGGCAGTGATGAGCAACACTTCCGATCAGGTTTTGTTAGCAAAGCAAGTCCTATTGGGTGGGGAAATGTTATACCTCCTCCACCCTATTTTTAAAGTTTTTATTTTGAAATGATTCTAGATTCACAGCAAATTGCAAAAATACTACAGAGAGGTCTTAAGCACAGAATCACACCCAGGAAATGGACACTGGTGCCGCCCACAGGCCCCACTCAGAGCTCACAGCGTTGTGTGTGTATGTGTGCCACCTAATGCCATCGTGGAGTTTTGTGGCACCGCTGCACAATCAAGATGCAGAACAGTTCCAGTTCCACCAAGATCTCCCTTTTCTGGTTCCCCCAACCCCATCTTAACCTCTGCCAACCACCAATCTGCTCTCCAAGAATGTTACATAAATGGGAACACAGTATGTAACCTTTGGGGACAGGTTTTTTCACTCAGCACAAGGCCCTTGATATCCAACCATGTTGCAGTTCTCAGTAATTACTTCCTTGGGACCTCTGAGGAGGAAGTGATGTGGCTGAGCGATGAGTAACTTTGTCTAGCATGCTTCTCACCTTTTTTGCTATAGTGTTTGGTTTGCAGACGGCTCGTTCTCAGGCGGCTTGGAGCATTTGATGAGGCTCTGGCTGAGCATGGAGGCGCTGTGCCCACACAGAGGGCACCTGGGCTACGTTCCTGTCATCCCTCCAAGAACTGGGGCGAAGAGGAAAAATCCGGGAGGCTTTCAGATACAGTTCCAAGGACTATCAGCTTTTTCCATGGAGGCAAGTCGTGTCTCCTTGAGGGGTTGGAGTAGATGACAGCCCCTTCACAAATCTTACTGTGAAGAATCAGCAGTCCGCTGGGTAGAGTCAGGCCCGTTTTAAGGGGGCAGATGGCCTGAGGCACTGGTTTAAGTCCTAATTCAGGTCTTGGCCAAGCCACTAAACTGTACTTCAGTTTTTTAAAAAAATATTTTATTTTACTATTTATTCATGAGATACACACACAGAGAGAGGCAGAGACACAGGCAGAGGGAAAAGCAGGCTCCATGCGGGCAGCCCGAGGCGGACTCCATCCCAGGACCCTGGGATCCGGACCTGAGCCCAAGGCAGATGTTCAACCACTGAGCAACCCGGGCGTCCCTGTACTTCAGTGTTTTTGTTTTTTTTTTTTTTTTTTTTTTACCTATTCTTAGGTGAGGAGAAAAGATTTTAGACGGGTTCAAAGACTTCTTCCCACTCTAATTCCACGGGTTCAAGTTGTCAAAAGCACCTAGAGCTCTGGAGATGCCTGCAATGAGGAAATCATCATGACATGTTGGATTCTTTATTTTGCAAATTAGGCCAGAGATAGCCCCACTTTGCAGGGGAGGAGAGGAGAGGAGGTTATCACTTTTCAATCTACCAAGGAAATAATAAGAGAAATGTCCCACAGGATCCTTTACCCTGTTGCATTACTACATTTAGATTTCCCGGTCTAGCCCAGAATCATAATTCACATAACAGCGAAACTCATTTCCCAAGGTTCGGGTGTGTTTTGGAATAAATTTGCACATCTTCACGCCAAGAAGTTTTGCTGCCTCTTCTTCCATGACGGCACCTGAAGGGAACAGACTCAGTGAACTCAAAGCCTAAAATCCCAACTGCAGTGCCATTGCCAGCAGCGAAGGGATTCTAGACTAGAATGCAAGAAGTAATAAGATGACAATATCACTGAACAAATAAGGGGGAAGGTCATTTCTTTATATCCCCTTTTACCTCCTTCAACACATTTGCAAATTACCTTCTTTTTCCCCTTTTTAACTTAATAAATGTTTTTTTCTACCTCTGCAAAACTGAGACACTTGGAAATGTAGGAATAGTTGTATTCCACAAAATAACATAAGGAAAGTAAACATGACTATTAGGAACTAGTGTTTTCCAACTGTGAGTCAAGAATCCCCCCGTCTCAGTGATACCTGGTCTTGTGAACTCGTGGGAGGACATTCACACCAGCTTCTGGCTGAGTGCCTCCATGTCTCACCCGCTGCCTGGCACGGGGGCACTGCTTGGATGCATCCCTGCATGCCTGGAGCATGGCTCCCACAGAACCCCATGGCAGGGAGCACTTCCCCAGCCAGCACCACCACAGACCCAGGGCTCGTCCTGGATTGTCTCCTTCTCTCCACTCCCCACCCTCCTTCCTGCTGCCATAGCTCATCCAGACCATGGCCAGGGCCTACTTCCATGGGCACCCTGATCCCTTTCAGCACAAAGTGAAAGTGTACTTTAGGCAAACTGGGTTCTATCCCAACTCCTGCTGTCACCTCTAGCTCCCCCCACCTGTGGGGCTTTGCACCTGTGCAGCACCAGCTGTGCTCCCCACATCCCTCCAAGGACCAGTAGGAGGAGGAAAACTGGGGGCCTCTCAGCACCGGTTCTGGAATTACAACCTCTTCCCCCCGGGGTGGGGGCAGCCTCTTGAGGCCTCTACGGGAATGCTGCTTGTCCAGGAGCCCTCCTGGCCCCATGTTAGGGGCGCCGCACAATCTTGGTGCCCACTCCACCCTTCTCTGATCGTTTCACTACACTTATCAGAACTGCTCATACATCTCTTCCATCTGTTCTGTTATGGATTTTAACCTACTCCCTAAAACTAAAAGGTATGTTCCGTGGGGTCAGAGCACCAGCCTGTTCCCCACCCCAGATGGCTGGCAAACAACTGTGGAATTAACAAGCCTTAAGTAAAACACGACTTGAGAGAACCAGAGTCAGCTTCTTGACAATTCTCCAACACCAGAGAGAACAGACTCCTTGCAGTTCTGGCTCCGGCTCAGCCCAGCCTGAGGGGCCTTGAGAGCCCAAACACCAGCCTCCCCAGTAGCTGAGCACAAGTTAATGTGCTAATTCTCTACCGACCCTTAAGAAAGTGCATCACTCTCACCAGTAAGAAAACTCTTCTGCTTAAATAAATCTAATCCAGGGTCTGGCTCTGTAACCTTAGGCAATTCGTTTTAACATTATTGATTCCATGTGTCTCTTTCATCAAGGGTAGAGGGTGGATCAAATACTCCTACTATGCCCGATGATGATGAGTAAAAATAACACAGCCCACTTACCAAGTGCCAGACCCCACCTCACGTGTATCCTATCACTTAATTCCAGTAATGCTGAAAGGCAGGTAGTATTACCAATCCCAGTTTACAGATAAGGAAACCCGGGCACAGAGAGGTTATGCAACTTGTGTAAGGTCACATAGAAGGTGGATTCCAGATTTGAGTTCTGAGATCTCTTTCAACTCCTGAAAACTAAGGCTGGAATATCCCGTCATCAGTGTTCCTCTGGCACCTACCTGTGCACAGCAGAATCTTGCCCTGAGTCAGATACTTGATGGTTTCTGATGTTTTTCTGAGACACTCCTTGGAAAGGTAGGGAGGATCTGCTATTACGATGTCAAAACTACGTGCAGCAATTTTTTCTGGTAAATCCAATGGATTATTATAATCATAGAAGATAAACTCCTCTCCGTATATAGCAAATCTTTTGTCATATTCAAAGATGTATACAGAGAAGTCTTCTCTGTGTAGGGCTCTCAGTTTCTGGTAAACACTGGGGGTGCTCACACAGGCTATTCTAGAAAACAGAAGGAACAAACTCATGAAAGATCTTTAATGTATAGCTTACGGTGCTTAACAACTACTTCACTAAGAAAATACAGGTACTTGCATTCCGCTTTTCTTAAAGGAAACCAGAGTACTAACTAATGTAAAGACAGTAAATTTCAAGAGAAAACTACACTGGCTCACTTTTTAAGGAATCTAGTGTTTAAAAATCCTGCAACTCAAAATTTTAAGATATGAAAGAATAATGTAATAAATGTAAACATTAGAAACACATTGGGAAGAAAGTTAGCCCAAGGCTTAAGTTTGTTTTTTCATATCAGTCCTCATTTTAACATTTACTTCTAATACTTTTAGTTTCAAATATTTCAAAGTTACTTTCTAATCTTCATAATCTAGAAAGAAAAACCCCAAATGACTGCCTCAATAACTCCAGTTTTCTGCAAGGATGCCTTAATATTTGACTTCAGTGCAGACAAGCTACTTTGAATCGCTGCTTCTTTTTTGTATAAGGAAATCAAAGAATGTTTCATTATAAACAGTTCCCAGTTTACGAAGAGTAGTGTCCCAACATTTAACTTTTATTACTTTTTTATAATATATTTTTAAAAGATTTTATTTATTCATGAAAGACACATAGAGAGAGGCAGAGACACAGGAAGAGGGAAGAGAAGGCTCCATGAAGAGAACCTGATGCAGGGATCCCTGGGTGGCGCAGCGGTTTGGCGCCTGCCTTTGGCCCAGGGCGCGATCCTGGAGACCCGGGATCGAATCCCACGTCGGGCTCCCAGTGCATGAAGCCTGCTTCTCCCTCTGCCTATGTCTCTGCCTCCCTCTCTCATTCTGTGTGACTATCATAAATAAATAAAAATTAAAAAAAAAAGAGTTTAAAAAAAAAAAAAAAGAACCTGATGCAGAACCCGATCCCAGGACTCCGGGATCACACCTGAACCAAAAGGCAGACACTCAACCACTAGCCACCCAGGCATCCCCCAACATTTGACTTTTAAACCAACGACTAAAAAGCTAGAAGTAATCTAAATATTAAATTATTGAATTGATAGTGGCACATTTGAGTGGAATGCTATATAGTCATTACTCTGCAAGATACTCAAGGAATAAGCGTAAACCATGATTTTATTATTATTAGTTTCGGAGGTAGAGTTCAGTGATTCATCAGTTGCATATAACACCCAGTGCTCATTCCATCACATGCCCTCCTTAATGCCCATCACCCAGTTACCCCATCTCACCACCCACCACCTCTCCAGCGACCCTGTTTGCTACCTAAAGAGTCTTACGGTTTGCCCTCTCAATTTTCATCTTATTTTTCCTTTCCTTCCCCTATTTTCACCTTTTTTCTTAAATTCCACATATGAATGAAATCACATGGTAGCATTATACCCTCTAGTTCCATCCATGTCTTTGCAAATGGCAAGATTTTATTCTTTTGATGACTAATATTCCCTTGTGTGTATGTATGTGTGTGTGTGTGTATATATATATATATATATAATCTCTTCTTTATCCATTCATCTGTCGATGGACATCTGGGCTCTTTCCATAGTCTGGGGACACTGCTGCTATGAACATTGGGGTGCAGCGGCCCCTTTGAATCACTGTGTTTATATCCCTTGGATAAATACCTAGCAGTGCAATTGCTGGGTCATAGGGTAGCTCTATTTTTAACCTCCACAGTTTTCCAGAGTAGCTGCACCAGTTTGGATTCCCACCAACAGTGTGAGAGGGCTCCCCTTTCTCTACAGCCTCACCAGCATTTGTTGTTTCCTGACTTGTTAATTTTAGCCATTCTGACTGGTGTGAGGTGGTATCTCATTGTGGTTTTGATCTGTATATCCCTGATGGCAAGTGATGTTAAACATTTTTTTCATGTTTCTGTTGGCCATTTGTATGTCTTCTTTGGACAAATGTCTATTCATGTCTTCTGCCCATTTCCTGACTGGATTTTTTGTTTTTTGGGTGTTGAGTTTGATAAGTTTTTTAAACATTTTGAATACTAGCCCTTTACCTGATAAGACATTTGCAAATCTTTCCCATCTGTAGGTTGCCTTTTAGCTTTGTTAACTGTTTCCTTTGCTGTGCAAAAGCTTTTTTCTTGATGAAGACCCAATAGTTCATTTTTGCTTTTCTTTCCCTTCCCTTTGGAGAGGTATCTAGCAAGACATTGCTGCGGGGGATGTCAAAGAGGTTGTTCCTTGTGTTCTCATCTAAGATTTTGATAGATTCCAGACTCAGGTTTAGGTCTTTCATCAGTTTTTAATTTATTTGTGTGTATGGTCTAAGAGAAAGGTCCCATCTCATTCTTCTGCATGTGGCTGTCCAATTTTCCCAACACCACTTGTTGAAGAGACTTTTTTTCCATTGGATATTCTTTCCTGCTTTATGGAAGATTAGTTGACCATAGAGTTGAGGGTCCATTTCTGGGTTCTCTATTCTGTTCCATTAATGTATGTGTCTGTTTTTTTTCTTTTTTAAAAGATTTTATTTATTTGTTCATTCATAGAGACACACACAGAGAGAGAGAGAGAAAGAGAGGCAGAGACACAGGCAGAGGGAGAAGCAGGCTCCATGCAGGGAGCCCAACGTGGGACTTGATCCCAGGCCCCCAGGATCACGACCCTGGCCGAAGGCGGCGCTAAACTGCTGGGCCACTGGGGCTGCCCTATGTGTTTTTAAGCCAGTATCATACTGTCTTGATAATCACAGCTTTGTAATGTAAGTTAAAGTCCAGAATTGTGATGCCTCCAGCTTTGGTCTTCTTCTTCAATGTTACTTTGGCTATTGGGGTCTTCTGTGGTTCTATACAAGTTTTAGGATTGTTTGTGCCAGCTCTATGAAAAATGCTGGTGGTATCTTGATAGGGACTACGTGAATGTGTAGATTGCTTGTGGTGGCATAGACATTTTAATAATATTTGTTCTTCCCATTCATGAGTATGGAATGATTTTCCATTTCTTTGTGTCTTACCTCTTTGGCTAGGTTTAGTCCTAGGTATCTTATGGTTTTGGTGCAATTGTAAATGGGATCAATTCCTTGATTTCTTTCTTCTGTCAGAACAAGAGAGAGTTAAAAGGGCTCCAAAGCATGATGGTGAAGGGAGACACCAGGTAAGGCCTGTAGCAAAGCCAGAAATCAACTAGTCCACATAGGAGCAGCTGGTAGAGCCTCAGGAGTAACTTCTTTCATGGAATTGAAACATGTCTCAATTTCCTGATAGGAGGTTCACATAACCAGAGGAGAGTTTGAAAGTTAATTTGTTTTTTTTTTTGAAAGTTAATTTGTGATATGAACATAGAAATACATAAAATATAAGAATTATTTTCTTCAGAAAAATGAAAAATCATACAGAGAAAGAAAAGTATAAGGCTCAGCTGTAAGGAGCATTTGTGGTGGCATAAAATAAATCCTGTTCTAACCAAACTTAGGACATAAATCTATCAGGAGTGTAGACAGAAAGCAAGCATATGTGTTGAGTATGAGAGAGCGCTAAATCCTCACACTCCATAGTGAGAAGTCAATAAAGAACATCTACAAGTGACAGACAGATCTAGAAGTGCCAATACAAACATGTATTTAGAAATATGATTGTAAATACCAAAGCATCCACTAAAAGAGAGCAGAAAAGGGAAGGGAGGTGCACAAGGGGGTAACAAGCAATTGATTTTTTTTTTTGAACGAGCCTTGTAGCACAATTTGACTTTAAATTTTTTTTTAAAGATTTTATTTATTTATTCATGAGAGACACACAAACAGAGAGAGGCAGAGACAGAGGCAGAGGGAGAAGCAGGATTCATGCAGGGAGCCCAATGTGTGACTCGATCCTGGGACTGCAGGATCACATCCTCAGCCAAAGGCAGATGCTCAACCACTGAGCCATCAAGGGGTCCCCTGACTTTAAATTATATGCATGCAAAATTCTGATGAAAATAAAAACTGGATTAAAAAAATAGAAAACCTGTATTCATTTTCTTAATATTTTATTTAAAAAGTAATTTCTAAAATAAATAAATAAATAAATAAATAAATAAATAAATAAATAAATAAATAAATAAATAAATAAAAAATAAAAAGTAATTTCTACACCCAACATGGGGCTTGAACTTACAACCCTGAGATCAAGAGTTGCATGCTCCACCACCTGAACCAGCCAGGCTCCCCTGAAACTCATATTCTTAAAACTTTAAAAGTCAAACATTAAGATTTTTTTTCTTTTAAAGCAAACAGTAGGCGTATAGAGGTAAGAAACAGGTTAGAAAATGTTAAAATTTTTAAAAAATGTTAAAATAAAGAACAGAGGTAGAACATCTTACAACGAGTGGATTTCTATGTGTCCCTAAACTCAGTACTGGAGCAGTTCTTTGTTATGTTCCGCAAACCATGACTTACCACTTTTGCAGATTATGGTTTAGACTTCTTAGAAACTACTGCTCAACTACGAAGGACATTTCAAATATTAGAAGACAAAAGAGAAACAAAATCTGGATCTCACCTGCCATGCTCTCCAGCAGCTGCGATGGCTTCCTTCGCAAGGTGCAAGGCAGTTTCCTGACTGTACCAAAACTGGCTCAGCTGCTGTGACAGAGCGATGATGAGTCCAAATCATTTTAGAACTGCCAGAAACCATGTCCTTTTAATTCATATCTACCATATCGGTGTGCAAATTTTTTTCATTTTTTTCTTTTTCTTTATTTCTTTTTCCTTTTTTTTTTCTTTTTAAAATGAATTATTCTTTGAAATTATTTTCAGTTAACAGAAGGCCCTAATTACTAGAATCTAGGCACTGGGCGCCAAGGGCTGCTGATATCCCAAAAGGAGACAACCAGTCAATGCTTTTGCAGATAGAAGAATACACTCTCACCTTTGGGTGACTCTTGTCCAAAATACTGAACCTGAATCTGACTAAGCTTCTAGATTCAACTGCCAATTTAGCAGAATCATAAATATGGAAGAGAGAAGAACATGTTAAACGACACCACAGGAATGACATTGGCAAAACCTGGTCTATAATCATCTTCCGAGGCTCCCTGTCTCTACCTTATGAATGTTTCCTGAGTTGTTTTTCCCTTGAGGGTAAGTTGTCATCTTGCTCTTCTTTTCATGCTGATTGATAACTTTCTTTTAACTTCATAGTGATCTTTAATTATCCACTTAATTAATAAATTAAAGGGGTAAAATTTTATTTTATGAAAAGATTTTATTTATTTATTCATGAGAATCACAAAGAAACGCAGAGAGATAGGCAGAGGGAGAAGCAGGCCCCCTGTGCAGAGCCCGATGCAGGACTCGATCCCAGGACCCTGGGATCACACCCTGAGCCAAAGGCAGACACTCAACCACTGAGCCACCCAGGTGCCCCAAGGAAGTAAAATTTTAACGGAAAAAGTAGATTCTTCTGCAATGGAATAGGTCCAATTCTCCAATAGGCCTCCCTCCAGAATAGCAAGGCCAGGAGGAAGTGGTGGGAGTAGGCAAGGGTGCTGCCTGTGTATGCTGATGGCTCTTGAATCCAGCTTTTAAAATGTTTCCAAAACATATCATTTCAATAAATGCAAAAATAAAAAACTTTGCATTTATGCAAGAAAATAAGTAAGAATCAAAAAGGCATTAAACTACTAATATCTGCACACTATGTGACTGTTGATCTAGAAAATATCAAGGGGGATAAATGTGTCCAAAGACAGAATGTACATATTCATTTGGATATGCATAGGTATGAACTATGTCTGTGTCTAACCATTCTTAGCTGCAGGAAAATGCCAACCTCTGACTCTCTTTGCTTAGGAAGCTGGAGGAAAGCCCCTAGCACACACAGAGAGCTCTGCTTGACTTGATCTGGGAGGTGGCTGAATTTCCTGGCATTTGGCTACTGAGCGGCCCTTGCTCTTACTCCAGCATTGTCAGGGCACAGCTGTGTGTTTTGGCTCTCCTCATACCCTTCTAAAAAATGAAAACCTTCCTCATAATCAGCATGTGGCATGAACATGGCTTTAAAAGTCAAAAGCACTTCTAGGCCTTCGAAGAAAAACAACAGTCCCTGCCCCACATCTCCCTACCACCCGAGCCCCACTCCTCAGAAGCCTCTTTGAACTCCTGGCTCTTCTTTTGATCATTTGGCCCCATATTTCCAAATATTATGCTTTAAATGCTACTTTCTTTTTTTTAAGTATATTTATGTATTTATTTTAAAGTAATCCCTGCACCCAATCTGGGGCTCAAGCTCACAACTCCAAGATCAGGAGACTCATGTCTTTCTGGCCAGGTGCCCCTAAATGCTATCTCTTGATTAATCCATGTCCCTTCCCCTCCTCATATAACTGTAACCTGCTTGGGTAAAAATCATTTGTCAGTGTTCACTGTGGGGCCAAGTAATACATTATGCTTCCATTTCCTTCTAAGTGTGGAAACTTTTCTTTTTCCTAGATTTAATAATGTATCATTTGCTTGTTTCTTTGAGCCTACCACTAATCCCTCTAACATCCTCTGGCCGACTTGGAGAAGCAGTGCATGGGAGGTCAATCCATAAGACCTACCATTTCTAAAGTGTTTTTTTTTTTTCTTCACATTTAACTGATAGCTGAGTACAGAATTTAGGCTGAACAAAACTGTACTCCAAATACTGAAGACATTGCTCCACTTTTTCCTAGTTTCTTTTTTTTTTTTTAATTTTTATTTATTTATGAGAGTCACACACAGGGAGAGAGAGAGAGAGAGGCAGAGACACAGGGAGAGGGAGAAGCAGGCTCCATGCACCGGGAGCCCGACGTGGGATTCGATCCCGGGTCTCCAGGATCGCACCCTGGGCCAAAGGCAGGCGCCAAACTGCTGCGCCACCCAGGGATCCCAACTTTTTCCTAGTTTCTAACAAAGCTATCAAGAAGTGCAGTGTGACTCATCCTGAGACTTTGTAGGTAGCCTGCTTTTCCTCTGGATGGTTCTAAGATCTTGTCACCTGCATACAGAATTTTCACAGTCATGTAACCACGTGTCTTAGTAAAGGATCTGCAGTTCTGGGAAATTTTCTAATATTAATCTTTGAAGATTCTCCCTTCTTTGTTTTCTGTTCTATATTTCTAGAACTCCAATTAGTCAAATATTGAGTCTCCTGGATTTATTCTCTAGTTTTATAATGTTTTCTTTCCAATACTTGTTATCATTCTCTCTCACTTTTTTTTCTCCCTAGGGGATTTCCTCAGTTTGATAAACAAATGAAACTAAATCAAAGAAAGTGTCAAAATTATAGAAATACTTAATTGTAAGTAGTGGGATTAGGATTACTTATTTTTGGTCTTCATCTTTTTATAGATTTTCTACAACAGCCATGGATTGCTTTTAGAGTCAGAAAAAGAACATACAGTGCTTAAAACATTAGGCGGGGGGGGGGGGGAAGAAAAATAATACTGTAGTACTTCAAATTTCTGACATTTACTACCTACAGAAGCATCAAACTAGAAGACAAAGACATGTAAAGAAGGGAAATTTGTGAAGAAAGAGGCTTTTATGTAGGTGGAAAATTTAGTGTAAATATAAAGAAATATTTTTATCAGTCAGATTCAAATAGATGATAAATAGAATTCTATACAACTTAAGAGATCCAAACTTGACACAAAATGTAAAAGGCTATTAAAAAAAAAAAAGCATATAAAAGTTCTCTTCTAGTTGCAAAGTGACAGAGAGAGACAAATCCGTTATTGAGGGGTGGGCACGGACCAAAGCTTCATCTATTTGTAAACTATATCTTTCAAAAATTTAAATGTCCAGGTTCCAGTTTTGGTTTCCCTCAACTCATTTTTCCCCCTAATTTCTAATTTTATTTAGACCATAAAAATATAATTAAAATACATTCTATGCACTAAAAATTAGTATCTTCTTTAGAACTCCCTTTCATCTTTTTTTGTTGCATGTTTAAGTTCAGTTACCCCATTTATTGCAATGATGTATTTTACCCTTTCCTCAAGGATGCTGGGCTACATAAAAACCCACAGAAACCATCTATATACAGGAGGAAGGCACAAGTTTGTGTTGGTCATAAATGATATGCCGTCCCCGTATCTGAAAAGTCCACTTATCTGACCACTACTAGCCTGACAGTCAGAACAGGAAAATCTGCATTTATATTGTCTTCAATGTTCATGGACTGCTTTCTGTCTTAGCTCCACAGACAGCTCCTGAGGGGCAGGTAAGACAGACACGGGTGTGAAGTGGGACACAGACACAGGGCAGGTGTGGACAGGTGTGGAATCGGTGCCATACCTATACTTCCTGAGAGATGTGGAATGGATTTACTTACCCAGTTCTCTTCTATTATTCCAATGTTATATTTATCATCCCTGCCAGGGTCACTTTGTTGCTTCTGCTCAGCATAAAATTCCTGGAGGGCTGCTAATGTGTGGGAAGATAGCCGAGGGATATCGTCATCATCAGAGTCACTCATTTCACAAATGGTCTACAACCTGCAAATAAATGAGCAAAGGTGTTGCTGGGGTATTTTTCCCCTTCACATTGAATAACAATTTAGAAATTTTTTATCTCATGGCAAGGATCCAAACTGGAAGTGAGTTTTATAAGGGAAACTCATATTTAAAATTTCCGAGATCAAACATCTATTGAAATCTCCTATTGAACGACAGCTTAAAGAAATGCAGGCTTTTCCTTTACATGTATTCAGTTTTTACAAATGAGATTCTCGCGTTTTTAAATTTTTTTTTAAGATTTTATTTATTTATTCATGATAGAGAGAGGCAGAGACACAGGCAGAGGGAGAAGCAGGCTCCATGCACTGGGAGCCCGACGTGGGACTCAATCTTGGGACTCCAGGATCGCGCCCCGGGCCAAAGGCAGGCGTCAAACCACTGAGCCACCCAGGGGATCCCCAGATTCTCTCATTTTTAAGACTCATGGCATAATGTAATTTTTTACTGTGAGTACCTAAAGACATTTTGCTTTCTTCTGGCACCCCAATAGGCATCTGTGGACATCTCACAGTAGATTCCCTGAATTGGAGATCATTCCAAGCTTGGATGTCACTGTTGAGGTGCTCTAAGGCTCAGGGGTGTTACAGATAGGATGAGTGAAGGATAGACAGAGGACAGGAATAGAAGAGGTATGGAAATTTAAAGGAAGCAAGGAGAAAGGGAAATTTAAATAGAAGCAAGCAGAAGGGGAAGAAGTAAAACACAGGGAGGGAGAAAAAAGGAAAGTGTCTTGCAGGACCTGATGGCCAGGCCAGTCATTTCTAGGAGTACTACTGGAGTTAGCCAGACTGCGAGGTTAAGGCACAGAACTGGTCCAGACAGCAAGTTTGCCCAAGACTCCTGATCACTGCAAGTTCAGGGGGTTCCCCAAACCACCCTTGTGTTCAATAATTTGCTAGAAGGATTCACAAAACTCACTGACAGCGATTTTACTGACAGTAGTAATTACTACAGGGAAAGGATACAAATTAGAGGGATCCCTGGGTGGCGCAGTGGTTTGGCGCCTGCCTTTGGCCCAGGGCGTGATCCTGGAGACCCGGGATCGAACCCCACGTCGGGCTCCCGGTGCATGGAGCCTGCTTCTCCCTCTGCCTATGTCTCTGACTCTGACTCTCTCTCTCTCTCTCTCTCTGTGACTATCATAAATAAATAAAAAATAAAAAATAAAGGATACAAATTAGAGCCAGCCAAACTTAGAGGTGCATAAGGTAGAGTCCAGAAGAGTCTCAAATAGGAAGCTCCTGTCACCCTCAGGATGCATCACCCTCCCCAGCACAGATGTGGGAAAATATGCATGAAGTCCTGCCAACCAGGGAAGCTCTGCAGAGTTTTGGTGTCCAGCTTTTATGAAGGCTTCACTATGTTGTTGGTATAAGTGACTGAATGCCCACCTAGCTGAAGTCCCTCACCAGCTCCCCCAACCATGAGGTAGGGTTGATATGGCCTCAGGGCCCCCCATAAATAACAAAGACCTTCCTACAACTTGGGAAAGTTTAAGTGTTTACATGTTACCTCCCAAAGGCCATGACAAAGGCCAAACCTCTCTTTGAGGTCAAATTCCTTACTACACAGGCACCAAACATATTTTTAAGTCAAAAGTCATCTAAGAGCATAAAAACAGCATCCTATTTGCTTTTAAAAACATTATGTCTAAACTGTACAGCAAGTGATGTGTTGAAAATCAGCATAGATTATTCAAAAGCTTCGTCACGTTGCTCCCTTACACCTTCAAGTACTATGAGAGTGTCTGACTGACAGTCCTGGCCTCCCGCCCGTGTCACCAAGGGCAGCCGGTAAAAGAGCATTCAAACCTGGCAAATTCCCCAGGCTGAGGAAGGCAGCCATTTAAATTGGGAAATGCTGGGGCACCTAGTTGGTACCACCTAGTGGTATCTGACTCCTGGTTTTGGCTCAGGTCATACTCTCAGGGTCCTGCTGGGCTCCTCACTCAGCATCAAGTCTGCTTGAGATTCTCTCTCCCTCTCCCTCTGCCCCCTCCACGTCTGCTGTCTCTTATCTCCCTCTCTCTCTCAAATAAATACAATATTTTTTTAAATGAGAAATGCCCTCTAGATGCTGCTTTTGCACTCCTTTTCAAAATCAAAAAGCTAGCCATTCTACCTATGATCCTAAAAACAACCACAAACAAAACCAAACCAAAAGAAATCTCATATGTACCAACTATTGATAAACCAATGTATATTCATAAAGTACAAATAGCTTGTTGATTCCTTCTTTCTTATCTTCATCAAAGACTCTCTTGTAAAAGCTTGTTAATAAAACATCTGGTCACACAAATTAATCCAGAAATATAAATAAGTCCTCTATGCATAAGCAGTTTCCCCTTTAGGAAGAGACGGAGCAAAACACAAGGTACAAACACTATGACAGGGACACCTGGGTGGCTCAGTGGTTGAGTGCCTGCCTTCAGCCCAGTGCATGATCCTGGAATCCCGGGATTGAGTCCTGCATCAGGCTCGCTGCATGGAGCCTGCTTCTCTCTCTGCCTGTGTCTCTGTCTCTCTCATGAATAAATAAATAAAATCTCTAAAAAAAAAAAAAAAACCCACTATGACAGATTTATATAAAGTTCAAAAACAAGTAAAATCAAACTATTTGTTTAAGGAAGCATACAGAGCTATATTTATCAAAGACAGACTACTTTTGTTACCAAACCTTCCCAAATAGAAGACTCTAGACCAAGAAAATTCATTGAGGAGTTCTATCAAAATTTAAAGAAGAGGGCAGCCCAGGTGGCTCAGTGGTTTAGTGCCGCCTTCAGCCCAGGGCCTGATCCTGGAGTCCCAGGATCGAGTCCCACGTCAGGCTCCTTGCATGGAGCCTGCTTCTCCCTCTGCCTGTGTCTCTGCCCCTCTCTCTCTCTGTGTCTCTCATGAATAAATAAAATATTTTTAAAAAAATTAAAGAAGAAATGTTGATAATTTTATCATCCAGAAAACAGAAGAAAAAGGAATACTTGCCAATTTATTTAATGAAGCCAGATTAAGTCTAACATAAAACGTGTCAGTATACAACCTGGCTCAATTTCTGATCAGACATTGAAGGTGATCAGATATCAAAGGCAGAGGGGAGGGGGCAGGAGTTGGTTTCTGATGAAACTGATTTATCAAGGTTCTTGCTAAGGCTAGATTTACAAAGAAGTGCACAAACGGGCCGAAAAGGTTCAGGAGCCTGACTTTAAGTCTGGTGGAGCAAACCATCTTAGCTACAGGAAGCTATGGCCTGCAGGTCAAATTAGGCCTGTGGCTTGTTTCTGCAAACTAAAATACTCGAAAACAGCCACACGCTTTTGTTTACTCATGGCTTATAGTTGTTTTTAAGACAAGCCTAATATTTATCACCTGGTCTTTTACAGAAAGTTTGCTGACTCCTAGTTTAACAGTTTATTTATTTATTTAAAAGATTTTATTTATTCATGAGACAGAGGCAGAGACATAGGCAGAGGGAGAAGCAGGCTCCATGCAGGGAGTCTAATGTGGGACTTAATCCTGGAAGATCATGCCCCTGAGCCAAAGACAGATGCTCAACCACTGAGCCACCCAGGCATCCCTAGATTTAACAGTTTAAGTGAGAAAAGCCATATGATCATTTGCATGGCTACTACAAAAGCATTTGACAAAAATCAGTGTCTGTTCATGTTAAAAACTGAGCAGGGATGCCTGCCTGGCTCAGTGATTGAGCGCCTGCCTTGGGCTCAGGGCGTAATCCTGGTCCAGGGATCGAGTCCCACATGGGGCTCCCTGCAGGGAGACTGCTTCTCCTTCTGCCTGTATCTTTGCCTCTCTCGGTGTGTCTCTCATGAATGAATGAATAAAATCTTTAAAAACAAACAACTGAGCAAACTAGGTGTAAGAGGGAACCTCAATCTGTAAAAGGGCACCTACAAAAAACATAAGCTTCATACTTTTCTTAGTGGTGAAATGCTGAATGCTTTCTGTCTATGCTCAGGAATAAGGGAAGGCTATTCACTGTCACCACTTTAACATTATCCTGGCCTTGCCAATTAAGGCAAGAAGGGAAACAAACAAAACAAAAAACAAGCAAGCATTATGATTGGAAAGGAAGAAGTGTCTCTATTAGTAGACCTGATTATTCACAGAGAAAATCCTAAGGAGGGATCCCTGGGTGGCGCAGAGGTTTAGCGCCTGCCTTTGGCCCAGGGCGCGATCCTGGAGACCCGGGATCAAATCCCACATCGGGCTCCCGGTGCATGGAGCCTGCTTCTCCCTCAGCCTGTGTCTCTGCCTCTCTCTCTCTCTGTGACTATCATAAAAAAAAAAAAAAAAAATCCTAAGGAAATACTACTCTCATGGAGGTGATCAAGGTCAATATCAGTGGTGATAATTCATTATCAATGGCAGGTCCCCTTGATATATTGTGATGAAAACAACACTTCACCTCCATGGTTCCCTCCCTCCCTGAAAAACACATAATCCCAGTGTAAGCATGACCAAAAACCAGACAAACCCCAATTAAGAGACATTCTACAAAATACTTGTCAAAACTGCCAGGTGGTCAAAAACAAGAAAAACATAAGAAACAGTCACTGCTGAGAGAAGCCTAGTGACATCAGAATAAAGTATGGACTTTGGTTAATAATAATGTATCAGTATTGTTCACTAATTGTGACAGATATATCCTATTTTAACAAAAGATATTAATAGAGGATACTGGTTATAGGTATAGAGGAACTCACTGCATGTTTGTCACAATTTTTCTGTAAATCTAAAATTATTTTAAGATAATGATTATTTTTAGAAGTTTTAAGGAAGCATAACCAACTTCAACAAAAACTACTGGAATTAATAAGTGAGTTTATCAAAGTTTCAGAGTACAAGGTCAATACAGAAAAATAAATTGCATTTCTGTATTCTAGCCAAATAAATGGAAATTATACCTAAAAGCTATTTTCCACAAAATAGCATAAAAATACTTATGAGTATATTTAACACAAAGAC